TACAAAACGCCTACACAACACATACACAACACCAACACAACAGCTACACAATACCTACACTTATACAACAGCATACACAGCATCTACACAACACCTACACAACACATACACAACACCTGCACAACATTAACACCTACACAACACCAACACTTACACAAAACCCACACAACACCTACACAACATTTACAAAACACCTACACAATACCTACATAACACCTACATAACACCTACACAATACCTACATAACACCTACATAACACCTACACAATACCTACACAACACCTACATAACACCAACACCAACACCTCTACACCACCCGTACCTGGTACACACCGCCATGCTTGAGCAGAATTGAAAGACGTAAAACATCGGACTGGTGGGCGCGACCGATAACGCCTTGCTGGAATACTGTTTCCGGTTGCTCAATCTGTGTAGAACATCAAGGGTTAAACAAACACTCAATGTGTAAAGGGTTAAATTAATAGAACGTCATCGCGTCTTGTCTGAATACCCTATTTATATTGATTTAATTTAATGCTACTTCAAGTTGAATAGTTAATACTGCCATTCAACGAGTATTGAAATTTATTTAAATCTACTTCATATTAAATAATATGCATTGAGATAAATAAAAATCTTCGTTTGAAATTGTTCGTAGTGCCCTCCAACGTTTTTATAAAATAATTTACTGCGATTTAATATGAAATATTATATTACTACTTGTGATTTCGACACTACCCTCTCTCCCCCCCTTCATATTGTAAACATCATACTGTAAACTCATACTGTTAAAGACATACTGTAAAAATCATACATTAAAAATCATACTTGAAAAATCATACAGTAAAAATCATACCGTAAAAATCACACTGTAAAAATCATACTTTAAAAATTGTATTGTAAACATCATACTGTAAAATCATACTGTTAAAATTATAATGTAAAATATACTCTAAAAAATATACTGAAAATTACACTGTAAAATCATACCGTAAATATCATACTGTTAAAAGCATACATTAAAAATCATACTTGAAAAAATACACTGTAAAAAATTCCATACTGTAAAAATCATACTTTAAAAATTATACTTTATGAATCATACTGTATAGATCGTACTCAACGTCTACAAAATATCTTAAATTCGGGCTACTTAAATTGTATGTCATTTTCAGGTCGCTCAAACTTAATAACACCATTTAAATTTTCACATTTTCTTTCATATCTTTATATTTGTACTAAACACCCCCCTAACCCTACACTTAGGATACAATGGCGAAGTATATCCTATAGCTCATAGCAGGGGCGGAACTACAGTGCCGCCAGACCCCGCAATGCGGGGGGGGGCAGACCAATTGGGGGCCCAAAAATCCTGGCTAAATTATTTTTAAAAAATTTAAAAAAAAATTAGGTGGAGGTCGAGTTATCTTTCTTCTACAGTTACAAACAAACACGATAGTCGGCAAACGTCTTTGAGAAAAATGCACTGACTATAGCTCGAGAGACCGCCAGACATATCGACAACTTCAAAGACGAAGCATCTGAAATTTTGACTGTGCCGGTACGCTTTGAAATCGGGCTGGGGAAATGTTGCGGCGAGGCGACTATCCTGGTCTTTTAGACTATCGGAAAAAGTCGGCACTATTGATGTAGATGTTTATCGGCGCTTTCTTGTCCCCTTCCCTTCCCAACTCTCTCCCCCCCCCCTCCCCCCTACCCCTCACTTCTACCCCTCACCACACCCTTACTCTTACAATAAGATGTAATGCATAAATTAACGAACCGTCTATGAACTGTAAACTGACCACTTCTGCACATTTTGTTAAAGACACTAGTCAGTAGTTGTTCATTTACCTGATGAACAGGGGCGGAACTACAGTCCCGCCAGACCCCGCAATGTGCGGGGGGGGGGGGGGGGGGGGGAAGGCCGTTTAGGGGCCCACGGCTGACCAAAATTTTTTTTTTAAATTTTGAATTTAATTTTTGCCTTAATATTTGGTTTGTAAAAGAAAAACACTGTAGCTGCGGTACGATTATCTTTATTTTACAGTCACTATACCACGCTCTTCCGCAAAAGATAAAATCCATTACACAAACTACAGTGTAAAATATAGGCAACTCTTCAAATTTTGAATGACTTCTTTGACTCGTTGCCCCCCCCCCCCCCTCCCTTTGATAGCTAAATAGAGGACACGTAACTGTTTGACCGATCCTCCAAAGTATACTGTGGCGGATGGGGCAGGGGATGGGGACCAAAAGGGGGGTTAAAAAATTGTCGACAAATTCTTTACATATTTAAAACAGTTATTTATAGTTGTATTTTTTAACCATCGTCAAGGCCGAGTTTTCTATTTCCCTACAATCAAACACAAGCTGTCGCCAGCAAAATTCTTTTTAAAAAAACAACAAAGTTCATAGCTCGAAAAGCCGCTACATATGAAGTGGGCTTTCAATACTTTCATGATGCGCGGTTGTTATTTGCGGCATTGGTATGGGACCCGAAATCCATTGTACATTTTTCAATGTTAATATGTGTTTGTGATAGTGGTTGAATTTGTATCCTGTACTATCTTGTATCGTACAAATAATTTAAAAAAAATAATATAATACTAGAAACTTCAGTTTTATATACGTTTACTTGATTTTGATTTTACAAGAAATATAGTAAACTTTTAAGGCCTATACTTCAAATTATCTCCCATGAGTAAGTTTTACAATGGGCGATGCTGACGTACATAGATCAAGGCGTTTTGTTGTCCCTTTCAAGTTTTTTCCCGAGCCGACCCCCATCCCATCCCTCTTTCTCAACCTCACAAGTATCGAGGAGATAAATGTATCGTTTATGAACTACTTCCTAACCGTACGATTCACCACTTCAGCACATTTTGTCATACACTAGACAGCACTAGATCTAGTCAACACATATTAATTTACTTTCATAGTATTAGGCACATCTAATTCACAAAACAGGGCAGGTAAGATTATTTTTTATATAATTATTTAGAAAATAATTAGAACGTTTAGAATTAATTGAACATTATTAATAGTCATTGAGGTGGGGGTGTGTGAGGGTCTGGCTTTTTGTTAATGCCCCTCCCCTAAATCAGAAGGTTATCCAACGCGTGACCTGGCCACATACAGTTGTACATGTGAAAAACATTTTTCTCTCTAATATTATTATGCATTACTGCATCATTCACCCAATCGCCATGAAAACTTGGGAAGCTGTTGAGTACAGCCCCGCAAAGGTTTCTGTCATAGGCCTAACAGCTCTGTCGGAAGAAACAATGTGTCACACCCATCACCCGTGCAGTAATGTAACCGGTAGCTCCAAGAGCCCCGTGACTCCCCTGACACCTGGGCCGTCGCAGAGGGACTTACAGCATGCCTTGGCGTGTCTAGTTGGTAGTGTGGACAAACCCGCGCCCTAAGATCCAAGAAATGAACTGCCGACATTGTTAACATTTAATTCAACTTCTGGAAAACAGGGCACACGGTTAGTAACGTTTTGATGAAAGCCTCAGTTTGGTGTGTTGGACTAGATTTAGAAAGGGGCCAGCTCGTGTGTTGGAAAACCTCTGATTTATTCGTGTACCAGATGGAATTTTTTTAAAATTGAGAGCGAACCTTGTTTTATATATATATATATATATATATATATATATATATATATATATATATATATATATATATATATATATATATATATATATATATATATATATATATATATATATATATATATATATATATACATATATGGGGGCCCAAAAATTTTTTTTGCGGGGTGGCCCATTTTTTCTAGTTCCGCCACTGGCTCATAGGTTCAGTCCCCCGCCTTTTCAATATATACAATATACTTATATCGTTACTAGACCGTAACGGTTCATAAACCAACATCTTTTATGTTATAGAAAAAACCCACCAAATCTTAAACTCGTCTTTTCTTTAAACGTAGATGAAAATGGTAGGTTAAATTGGTGAATGACATGGGACTTTATAAAAACAGGTGCCCTAAATTTTGGCAAGTGGCTTTTGAAGAGGGGAGACTCAATTATTTTCGCGGAGGAAAAAAAACAGTCAAAAAACTTTAAGAATGGCAGTTTGCATTGAGGCGTGGATAGTTTTTTGAAGTTTATTTATGTTGAAGGTTGCTTTATTCGATGCACAAAAGACGTTTCTAACAGGTTAAGTCGTTTATTATATTCCCGCGCTACACACATCCCACAACACACTACTCCCCCCCCCCCCCCCCTCCACCATCATAATTGTTCACACATCCTTTTATACCCGCATTCGTCCTTCAGGTAAAAATACATACACGCACGCAGTTGAACTCTACTCACAAATACAATACCCCTAGTGCTCTAGACTATTCTAACCTAACCTTTAAAAGACTCGTAACAATTTAGTCATTTATTTTTTTTTTACATTACTCGCCGTATATTATGAAAAATTACCGTAATGCTTCTGCTTCCTATAATTTGAAATAAAGAACGGACTTAACCAATTCGTAAGTAACGATTTCGATTTTTAAAAATGTGATCTTATTATAGGAATTAATATGATTAGTTGATGTGATTATTACTTTTCAAACCTTATTTTTCATTTTTGTGGACATTTATATTTATCAAATATATACTTTTCGTGTATGAAACATTTTTTTTCGCGTTTAAAAATATATTTCTGTCAAAAGATTAATTTATGAGGCAGTATAGTCGGTTTAATGTAATCGACCAAAATAATCAGTCACTGTAATCAGTCTTCGTATTCAGTAAAAGTAATCGATATGGTTGTCAGTTAGTGTGATCGGTCAATGTCTTCAGTCAGTGTTATTGATTAAGTTACATTTATCCGTCACACACCCTATCCCTACAATTTCCTTGATCTTGCCTTTAAAGTTATCTCTAATTTTTTGAAAATAATATACATTTTTTTTAATTAACAGGTAACCTAAATTGTAGAATATACTATAATTATAGAAGTAAACATTTCAGATTTTATTTCCAACATTTCTGTCAATATAGTAGGTAAAGTAGTGTTCACCAGTTTACATGATATTTAAAGATAATGTGTGAGAATATAATATTACATTTAAAAAAACAACTTATTATTATCCTCTGTTATGCTTGTATGAATAAAATGTTGTTTTATAGGTTTTTAATTATTTATTCATATTTACTGTTTTAAAAGTTTTAAAATTTCATAAATAAATCCATATGAATCGTTACAATTATTAATTAATATTTTTAACATTAACTAAACTGCGAAGAGGGTATCAAGTAGAAAGAAAACTTCTAAAATCACGTTACTTACCTTCACAAACGTGACGTTTTCCCCACCTAACTTGTCACTTACCTTCACAAACGTGACGTTTTCCCCACCTAACTTGTCCCACCACTTACCTTTACAAATATGACGTTTTCCCCACCTAACTTGTCCCACCACTTACCTTCACAAACGTGACGTTTTCCACACCTAACTTGTCCCACCACTTACCTTCACAAACGTGACGTTTTCCCTACCTAACTTGTCCCACCCCTTACCTTCACAAACGTGACGTTTTCCCCACCTAACTTGTCCCACCCCTTACCTTCACGAACGTGACGTTTTCCCCACCTAACTTGTCCCACCACTTACCTTCACAAACGTGACGTTTTCCCCACCTAACTTGTCCCTTACCTTCACAAACGTGACGTTTTCCCCACCTAACTTTTCCCACCACTTACCTTCACAAACGTGACGTTTTCCCCACCTAACTTGTCCCACCACTTACCTTCACAAACGTGACGTTTTCCCCACCTAACTTGTCCCACCACTTACCTTCACAAACGTGACGTTTTCCCCACCTAACTTGTCCCACCACTTACCTTTACAAATATGACGTTTTCCCCACCTAACTTGTCCCACCACTTACCTTCACAAACGTGACGTTTTCCCTACCTAACTTGTCCCACCACTTACCTTCACAAACGTGACGTTTTCCCCATCTAACTTGTCCCACCACTTACCTTCACAAACGTGACGTTTTCCCCACCTAACTTGTCCCTTACCTTCACAAACGTGACGTTTTCCCCACCTAACGTGTCCCACCACTTACCTTCACAAACGTGACGTTTTCCCCACCTAACTTGTGCCTCACCTTCACAAACGTGACGTTTTCCCCACCTAACTTTTCCCACCACTTACCTTCACAAACGTGACGTTTTCCCTACCTAACTTGTCCCACCACTTACCTTCACAAACGTGACGTTTTCCCCATCTAACTTGTCCCACCACTTACCTTCACAAACGTGACGTTTTCCCCACCTAACTTGTCCTACCACTTACCTTCACAAACGTGACGTTTTCCCCACCTAACTTGTCCCACCACTTACCTTCACAAACGTGACGTTTTCCCTACCTAACTTGTCCCACGACTTACCTTCACAAACGTGACGTTTTCCCCACCTAACTTGTCCCTTAACTTCACAAACGTGACGTTTTCCCCACCTAACTTGTCCCACCACTTACCTTCACAAACGTGACGTTTTCCCCACCTAACTTGTCCCTTACCTTCACAAACGTGACGTTTTCCCCACCTAACTTGTCCCACCACTTACCTTCACAAACGTGACGTTTTCCCCTCCTAACTTGTCCCACCACTTACCTTCACAAACGTGACGTTTTCCCCACCTAACTTTTCCCACCACTTACCTTTACAAACGTTACGTTTTCCCTACCTAACTTGTCCCACCACTTACCTTCACAAACGTGACGTTTTCCCCACCTAACTTGTCCCACCACTTACCTTCACAAACGTGACGTTTTCCCCACCTAACTTGTCCCTTACCTTCACAAACGTGACGTTTTCCCCACCTAACTTGTCCTACCACTTACCTTCACAAACGTGACGTTTTCCCACCTAACTTGTCCCACCACTTACCTTCACAAACGTGACGTTTTCCCTACCTAACTTGTCCCACGACTTACCTTCACAAACGTGACGTTTTCCCCACCTAACTTGTCCCTTAACTTCACAAACGTGACGTTTTCCCCACCTAACTTGTCCCACCACTTACCTTCACAAACGTGACGTTTTCCCCACCTAACTTGTCCCTTACCTTCACAAACGTGACGTTTTCCCCACCTAACTTTTCCCACCACTTACCTTCACAAACGTGACGTTTTCCCCACCTAACTTGTCCCTTACCTTCACAAACGTGACGTTTTCCCCACCTAACTTGTCCCACCACTTACCTTCACAAACGTGACGTTTTCCCCACCTAACTTGTCCCACCACTTACCTTCACAAACGTGACGTTTTCCCCACCTAACTTGTCCCACCACTTACCTTCACAAACGTGACGTTTTCCCTACCTAACTTGTCCCACCACTTACCTTCACAAACGTGACGTTTTCCCCACCTAACTTGTCCCTTAACTTCACAAACGTGACGTTTTCCCCACCTAACTTGTCCCACCACTTACCTTCACAAACGTGACGTTTTCCCCACCTAACTTGTCCCTTACCTTCACAAACGTGACGTTTTCCCCACCTAACTTTTCCCACCACTTACCTTCACAAACGTGACGTTTTCCCCACCTAACTTGTCCCTTACCTTCACAAACGTGACGTTTTCCCCACCTAACTTGTCCCACCACTTACCTTCACAAACGTGACGTTTTCCCCTCCTAACTTGTCCCACCACTTACCTTCACAAACGTGACGTTTTCCCCACCTAACTTTTCCCACCACTTACCTTTACAAACGTTACGTTTTCCCTACCTAACTTGTCCCACCACTTACCTTCACAAACGTGACGTTTTCCCCACCTAACTTGTCCCACCACTTACCTTCACAAACGTGACGTTTTCCCCACCTAACTTGTCCCTTACCTTCACAATCGTGACGTTTTCCCTACCTAACTTGTCCCACCACTTACCTTCACAAACGTGACGTTTTCCTCACCTAACTTGTCCCACCACTTACCTTCACAAACGTGACGTTTTCCCCACCTAACTTGTCCCACCACTTACCTTCACAAACGTGACGTTTTCCCCACCTAACTTGTCCCACCACTTACCTTCACAAACGTGACGTTTTCCCCACCTAACTTGTCCCACCACTTACCTTCACAAACGTGACGTTTTCCCCACCTAACTTGTCCCACCACTTACCTTCACAAACGTGACGTTTTCCCCACCTAACTTGTCCCACTACTTACCTTCACAAAAGTGACGTTTTCCCCACCTAACTTGTCCCACCACTTACCTTCACAAACGTGACGTTTTCCCCACCTAACTTGTCCCACCACTTACCTTCACAAACGTGACGTTTTCCCCACCTAACTTGTCCCACCACTTACCTTCACAAACGTGACGTTTTCCCCACCTAACTTGTCCCACCACTTACCTTCACAAACGTGACGTTTTCCCCACCTAACTTGTCCCACCACTTACCTTCACAAACGTGACGTTTTCCCCACCTAACTTGTCCCACCACTTACCTTCACAAACGTGACGTTTTTCCCACCTAACTTGTCCCACTACTTACCTTCACAAACGTGACGTTTTCCCCACCTAACTTGTCCCACCACTTACCTTTACAAACGTGACGTTTTCCCCACCTAACATGTCCCTTACCTTCACAAACGTGACGTTTTCCCCACCTAACTTGTCCCACTACTTACCTTCACAAACGTGACGTTTTCCCCACCTAACTTGTACCACCACTTACCTTTACAAACGTGACGTTTTCCCCACCTAACTTGTCCCACCACTTACCTTCACAAACGTGACGTTTTCCCCACCTAACTTGTCTCTTACCTTCACAAACGTGACGTTTTCCCCACCTAACTTGTCCCACCACTTACCTTCACAAACGTGACGTTTTCCCCACCTAACTTGTCCCACCACTCTCCCTGAGGTATCTCATCCCCGTGGACAAAAACCCGCTGGAAGCCGGCGACGTGAAGCGCTGAGATAACGCTGAGGTAATGCAGGAACCGGAACTCTCTCGGGTCTAGAATGTTCTTCGTTTGTATCCACACCAGATGAGCAATCAACGGAATGTAATCTTGAGGTCTGTCTGTTTGTTTGACTGTCTGAACGCCTCGCTTTCCGTAATAAATCCAGCGTGTCAGTTCCGAAAATCGTGTGGATCCATCCCAAATGTCTTTGGGGTTCAAAGATTCCTTGATGCCAAGACAAGGGCATGGTTTCGAGTTTTGAGAATCGTAATCCTTCATTGAACAGCAACGTATATTTGATCTAAAAAAAGAACGGACTTTTTCGTCAATAGTGTTTTTCGGGAAAACCCGAGCGCTAAATATAAACCCTTGTGTGACGTCATTGATGCTTGTGTTAGAATAAAATGCTGAAAAAAACGACTGGGATTTCGTTTCTTCCGGGTATCTGGTGAGCAGTGTGTTTTCTCCTATGTAAAGACCCCCGTGTTTAGCGAGTCGGTTCACGGCAAGTTCTAGAACATCACGCGACCCGCATCGTAGTTCAAAGTTCACGTGACGGAGCACCAGGTTGGGCACCGACTGCGTCAGTTCCTGGAACCACGTGTGGTACCAGAAGTCGTCGACTTCCGGCAGGTGGTGGTAGTAGAAATAAATCTTCAGAGGTCGAAGAATTCTCACGGCGCTCAACAAACTCAGCTGGTGCTGGAACTTGTACACCTTCCTGCCGCACCAGACGTAGTGGACGACGGACGGACCCTCGCCCGGAAGTGACGAGTTGTTCTCCACTTCCGGCCAGCCATCTTGTGTGTACACATCCCTAAACAAAGGGATATAATCCGCGTCGGTTTTAATCCACGTCGGCACCACTGGATTATTTATATCATAAACTATCAAATACACCAAAACTAAAACCACTGAGACGAACGTTGCGCATGCGCTGAACAATTTTCGTTTCCTCATCCCAATGCGAAACATTTTAAAAAATATCCTTCGAAACCAAATTACCCTCAATAAATAAACTTCAAATCTACGTACGCGAACTCTCTCAAGCATTTGTTTGAAACGTAAACATATATATCTTGTTCATATTTTTTTCTGTCGATCCTTATTTCACGGAACAACAACCTCGCTAGTACATGAAAGGAACTCTGTCTCTTCGCTTCACTTGATGTATCATGTAGGCCCAGCGCTTTGTACTTTCTCCTGTGTGAATGGTTAGACGTCTTTGATTGGGGTCCTGTTTTATACCTACTGGAGAAAAAAGTTAAATAATTATGCAGTAATATTGTTCTTTTAAAGGGTTAGGCTCCCTCCACAAACAAAGCGTTAATTATTTATTAGTGTGTATCTAATTTAAGGCACTTCAAACAAAGAAAATATGTTCATGCTTCAGGGACGCTTCTAAAAGTACGCGTAGCCATGACAACGGCGACCATCTTGAAAAAGCTACCTTTTGCCTCCCAAGTGTAAAAAATTAATCTATATATTGATCATATAATCATTGATCCTTTTTTTACTAGCTTTAATAGAGTCAGCTGGCTAGATTTTGTAACAAAACAAAACACTCTAGAAATATTTTTTTTTTCAAATTTTCTAAATTTGATTTGACGAAATAAAGTTATACTTAATATTAAATTGAATGGCATTTCACCATATAAAATTTAGAAAATTCGAAAAAAATAAATCCTGAGCCTACCCCCTTAATTTTAATCAAGAATGTAAAGGTTTTGTAGGTGATCAATTACCTTCCGCGTTCATTACACCCCCCCCCCCCCAAGAGTTTCTTTAAGGCCTTCCTTCGTACCCCCCCCCCCCCCTTAACAAGGTCGCCGAGTGAAATATAAATATATTAGCTACATGAACCAGTATCACCCTACCACCCACTCCCCACCCCCCCCCCCCCCCCCGAAAATATAGTGCACCCTACAGGTAAAAAGTGTCTGAAAGAAACACTGATTTCCCCGCCCCTATCTTCTTTTCAATACCACCTGATCAATGTATCGCCTTAATAAACGTACTAAATTGAAAAAATAATGAAATGATTTTCTTCAAAACTAATGATACATTTAAATCACACAACACGATGTTAAATAAAGCTAAGCTTGCCTTGACAATTGTACAACAACCATGGCGATCGAAGAAAACTTCCTCGTCTATATAGAATAAATCGAGATGATATCGCAACAATAGGGCTTGTAAGTAGGTCACTAACTTCATGTTCTCGTACTTATCAGCTAGTATTTTTCAAACCAAATATGATCGGTATAAAAGTTAAAAGAATAATTACTTCCGCAATTGTTATATAAAATTGTGAACAATGATTATGATAGACTACAAGATGCAGAGGCGTAGCGGGGGGGGGGTGTGGACCGCACCGGGTGACACCATTTAGGGGGGGGGGGTGACACCACGGCAAAAAATAGCAAACTATATAGAGAAAAACTTGAGGGGGGTGCAAAAGGAAAGTTCGAGGGCGGGGGGGGGGGGTGCAAATCGAAAATTTGAGGGGGGTGCGCATATCGAAAGTTTGAGGGGGGGTGCAAATTGAAAATTTGAAAGTTTGTCCCCGGGAAGGGTCGCTGCGCCTCTGGGGGGGGGGGGGGTGAAACCCGACCTTGCTACGCCACTGACAAGATGTATACTAGCTTAAAGAAAAATATAGCATACGTTAAATTGTGATTTTTCAGAAAAGCTAAAAGTTTTAAAAAATTATTAATTTGAATCCCTAACAAGTTTTGCTATGCGTAATTGCAATATTGATATTAGTTGTTGCAATTTGGGTAATCTTGGTGTTTTAAAATCTTAAGGGTATACCTAGAAACAAATAGCCGTCATGTTTACAACAATTAATTTAGTTCAAAAATATGCCTCTCTCCCTGGCCAACGAGATTTTAATGTGAAAGAGACCGAGACTTACAAGCCCTATAGCGCTAAACTGGACACCTTTTAAGGAAAGAGAAAGAAGGGAAGGCCAAGGGAGATGTGGAGGCGCACGTTGGGAGAAGCAGCTGACAGAGGCAGGAAAATTGCTGGAGACCGACATAAATGGAGGGAGCTTTCTGTGGCGGCCCGTTGTGTCTTGGGCAGAAAAGGGAAAATATAATAAAACGATAATCCAAAGAGCTGGTCGATGTATTTGTAGAGAAAAAAAATTAAAATAAATGTTAAAGCCCATTTCATAACATGAATAGGCCTACCAATGATTACATATTTGCTACATACATATGAGTATTTTGCGTTTACCTATGCATGAATTCACCCGTACACAATTACTGAAACCGGTGGATCGTATTATATACATACTTAATTAAATACCCTTCGTAAAATAAAATAAAAATAAATCGACGCTTGCTATTTAGAGTTAGGCTATATAAATCGTCCTGCATATCAAGAATATATATTTTTTGGTGGTAATATACAATGTGTTATTACAAAAGAAAAGAGAATACAAATCAGAAAAATAAAAACATTCACGCCTTATAACTTGCAAATAAATATACCATACATTTTTTTTTAATCACACTTTTTTTATGCCAAACTATTTTCATGGAGAAAAAAAAATTGTCATTTTTTTAATAATTAGTGTAGATCAATCAAATCTGGAAAAATGATCAAATGAGTTTCAATTCAACTTTTTTAAAATATAGATCTTAATAATAGTTATACTTATTTTTATACATAACTGAAACTCAAAATAAATAAGCGTGCGCGGTAACTCATCACCATAAACTTGACACATCTCAATACCTGGTACCGCAATCGTTCAATCTTGTTTAAAAATTAATTACACGTCAAATCATATCAACATAGGCCTACACCTTGACCTACTTGTCAATTTTGAAAAAAATCGGTACGGTAGAAGTGGTTAAACGTGGACCGCAATGGTTCACTCATAAAACATGTAAAAATGTGTGTTTAAGGGTTATATTTGTACTTCATGCATAAGGAATGATATGAAATTAATGTCAATCGATGTCGTAAATAAAAAAATAAAAATTATTTCGTTTTATTTTTCATAAATGAACAGATAATTTTATGTTGTTTCATAATGAATTAAGTCTAGGTTATTTCATTATAATTTATGTATTTGGAAATGTATTGTTTATAAAGAGTTAAGTCTTGACTGCTTATTATTATTAATTAAGTACTCTGAGACATATTTTAACCATTGATTTTTCAATGACATTTTGACCATTAGACATCTGATTGCAATACCAAAACAGTTCTTTGGCTGACGGTCGGCATAAAAAATGTACTGTTTAAGTGTAAATAAAACAACCGTAAAGTGTCTTTTCTATTGATCGATTTTTTTTCTCTAGACTAAAATGTAAGGTGTGTATCGATTTAAAGAAGTTGAACAAATGAGTAAGGCTTAAACATCTTGTACCGAAAATGAAGTAAACTACATACAAGTGTAATATATCTTTAACAGTTTATTTCAGTTAGATATGTTTTGTCTTATTTAAAAAAAATGTTTAACAAAATGTATGTATGGAGAATGCAATGTGGATAAACGTATCTCGTATTTGATCTTTTTTTTTTTTTTGATTTAGAGAAAAATGAATAACATTTTTTAATACTTTGTTAAATTATGAAGTAGATTTTGTTTAAAATTGGAAGTCAATAAATTTAGATTGTTTTTTACGGTTATATCAAATTTAAAAATAGGAGGCGAAGTGTTTATCCTTGGCCTCCCCCACCCCTCCACTCTCACACCCCCACCTCCACCCCACTTAAACACTAAGGAATGGGGCCTAAAACATGTCACTTTGCTAAAAAAAATAGTGTATAGCGTTATATTATTCGTTGAAATACCTTAAACTAACATGAATTCGAATCGCTTGAAAAATAACGATACTTTAACATTTGAATAAATTTCATAAAAATAAAACTATTCTTACCTATTATTTTTTACTCATACATAGAACACTAAAAATGCTATTCTTTTCTTTACGGAATCTAATTTTAAATACCAATGTTTTACAGTAAGAGAATCACAAAAACTGTAATTATCTAAAAACGCGCGTATTTCTAAAAATAAATCAAGACAAAATGGACGCTGCATGAGTTAGCCGTCTAAAACACGAAGTTGCCGTTGGCAGGGTCGCTTCCTGCAATCGATTTCAAAAGCAAGAGCGGACGCACTAGAAAAAAAAATCAAAGAACGCAAATAATCTCTTTAGGACGGAGTTCGGTTGACAGTAGTTACGTGACTCGACACGTGTGAACTGTGTACAGGCGATTTTGAAAAGGGCAATGGTATGAATTGAATTTCGGTAAAGTCATTACGTTGGTGTTTTTTTAGTCGAGCTTGCTACACAAAAATTACTGCTTGTTTCGTCTTGCTAAGGAAAAAGGCAGTGTTTCTTCCAGACTTTTTTTCTCCGGGGGGGGGGGGGGACTAAAATTTCCGGGGGGGGGGGGGGGGGTTGGGGCGGACACTGTTAAAAGTGTATATTTTTATATAAATTAAAAGTTCCATTTCCTTCAGGGGGAGGCAGTGGGGGTAGACTTTCTTTGGGGGGGGGGGGGGGGGTGGCGGGGGCTCCAACTCACCGAAGAGATCCACGGGAGAAACTCTGGAAATAAGCAACTTCCTTATTTCCTTTAGCGTGATCGATATAAAAATTCAAATTATAGACACGCATGTACATATTTTTTTGAAATTCTGAACTTTCGCTTTGACTGTTGTTGTTTTTTTCCAATAATTTCCAAATACAAATTCCTAATAACGTAGTATTTGTGTGTGGCTGAGAAGATAACACGGTATCAATTCCGAAAGGTTTGGGTTCGTAGCTGAAGTGATCACTAGTGATCTTCTTTTTTTTAAATAGCGCAATGGCACCACATCGCCAGTAATTATAATATGGAGAAGTGACCTGGTAGAATACACCAAGAAGATTGAATAACATACAAAGAAGATTGAAGAAGATATAAAGAAGATTGAAGAAGATACAAAGAAGATTGAAGAAGATACAAAGAAGATTGAAGAAGATACAAAGAAGATTGAAGAAGATACAAAGAAGATTGAAGAAGATACAAAGAAGATT